GTACTTATTGCCATTGCAGGCTTCAGATTTGTGGTTACCAAGGTTCAAGGTTAGCTTCTTTACTACCTAATCATCTACCTTAACTTGCTTATTAAGCTATTATAAACACAGTCTGATGATTCATTATTTCTCTCCCTTTTTATTCCTCCTCCTCCATTCTTTATATGTTAGGTGTTTTAATCTGTACTCTTTTGTGTTCCTTTGACTACTTTTGTGCATAGTTGATTTTATTTGTTGCCTTTAGTTAGTTTTTGGTTGGTCTGCTTTCTTTGCTGTGATTTTGTTTTCTCTGGGTTTATTTAGCCTTAGCAGTGCTTCCATCTAGGGCATTCCCTTTAAAATACCCTGTAGAGGTGGTTTTTGGGTGGCAAATTCCCTCAACCTTTACTTGTCTGGGAATTGTTTAATCCCTCCTTCATATTTAAATGATAATTGTGATGGACACAGTATTCTTGGTTCAAGGCCCTTCTGTTTCATTGCATTAAGTATATCATGCCATTCTCTTCTGGCCTGTATTGTTTCTGCTGAGAAGTCTGATGATAGGCTGATGGGTTTTCCTTTGTAGGTGACTTTTTTTCTCTCTCTGGCTGCCTTTAATACTCTGTCCTTTTCTTTGATCTTTGCCATTTTAATTATTATATGTCTTGGTGTTGTCTTCCTTGTGTTCCTTGTGTTGGGAGATCTGTGGGTTTTCATGATCTTAGAGACTATTTCCTCCCCCAGTTTGGGGAAGTTTTCAGCAATTATTTCTTCAAAGACACTTTCTATCCCTTTTTCTCTCTCTTCTTCTTCTGGTACCCTTATAATGCAAATATTGTTCCATTTGGATTGGCCACACAGTTCTCTTAATATTCTTTCATTCCTGGAGATCCTCTCACCCCTCTCTGCCTCAGCTTCTCTGTATTTATGTTCTCTGATTTATATTCCACTAATGATCTCTTGCACCTCATCCAGTCTGCTCTTAAGCCTTTCCAGAAATTGTTTTATTTCTGTTCTTCCTCCTAACTTGATACTTTAGCTCTTGCATATTTTTCTGCAGGTCCATCAGCATGGTTATGACCTTTATTTTGAATTCTTTTTCAGGAATATTGGTTATATCTCTCTCCCTGGTCCTCTCTTGGGGATTGTCTGGGTATTTCTAGACTGGACCATTTCTTCTGACTTTTCATGGCTATAGAGGTAGTCATAGGCAGGTGGCGCATGTGTCAGGTGGGAGAAAAAAGTCCCTTCCAGCTTGCTGATCACTCTGTCCCTCTTTGCTGCCTGTGTCAGCCACCCTCACACCAGGAGCAGCATCCGGGTTAATCCCTTGAGCTGCTGTGGCTGGGGCAGCTCAGAGCCTTGTGGGGAGAGGCATGCATGCTGGGTGTGCTCTCCTGTGAGAACAGAGCCCCATTGTGCCCTGCCCAGGCTTCCTTTGTCTGCCTAGGGCAGCTGCATGCTGGTAGTGGCCCCAGGCCTGGCCCCGGGCGGCTGTGCACGGGAAGGAGACTCAGAGGCCGCTATGGGTGCAGCCACTCTCAGGCTGCTTGGCCGCTGTAGTGGGGCTGCACTACAGGGGGAATGAACATTTATTGCTGTGAGGGGCGTCAGAGCTGCACTGCCTCCCAGGGGGCCGGGGCGTCTGAAGCTTCTCAGAATTCCCAGTCTGCTGGACTGAGTGTGCCTGGACAATTCCATCCAGCTGTGAGGCCCCTGCCCCTTTAAGACTTTCAAAAAGCACTCGCTTTTCTTTTGTCCCAGGGAAGCCATCTGCGGGGACATGCTCATAGATTTTCCTTTTCCTTTTCCCTAATATCCAGCACACCATGCAATGTGTGTCTGCGCTTCTGGTGTGGATGACTAGGGCTGGGTATTTAGCAGTCCTGTGCTCCCACTTCCTCCCTGCTCCGTCTCCTTTCCTCCCACTGGGTAGCTGGGGTTGGGGGAGCGCTCCAGTCCTGCCGGGCTGCTGCTTGTATCTTACCCCCTATGTGAGATCCCAAGTTCTCGCAGATGTAGATGTAGCCTGGCTGTTGTTCTGTATCCTCTGGTCTCTTTTTTAGGAATAGTTTTATTTGTTGTATTTTCAAAAATATATATGGTTTTGGGAGGAGATTTCCACTGCCCTACTCATGCCACCATCTTGGCTCTTCTTTATGTTGAATTTTTATTTAAAACACCCCACTGCTTCACACTGTCCAGAATAAAATAAGAACCAAAATAAGAGATGGCTGATGCAATAATTTTTAAGGATTATGAAGTAAGACCCAGGTACTATCAGCAAGGTGACAGAAGTGGATGTAAGCCTCATTTTGTCAGGCTTAGTTTAGATGCTGGCCCCTCTTCCCATTGTCCTCCCGCCTGGTGCTCAAAGCCCACAGCACCTCTGCTCACCTTTCATCTACTCACCCTCACACTTTCAGCCTCTGGGAATCTTGGATCCTACAAAATGTCTATCCTTTGAAGTATCCACTTTTTTCTTCTACAGAGATTTCTGATTTTCTCAAGTATTTTGCAATAGCGAATTGGCAAACAATTAGTTTTGGAATAGTCAAAATGATGTGGAGGATGGAGAGAGGGATTGAAATCCAAGTGCTATTTTTCATCAGCTGCAGGATCTTAGGACAACTCTCTTCCCACTTTATAAAACTCAATGCTGAAGAAAGTGGGAGCGTCCACAATTGAAGGCTCTCCTACCATCGTCCTTCATCCGAGTCCTTACCTGAGACCTGATCTTTGATAATTACTTTAAAAGATCCTTTTGCTTTTTATAACGTGAAGGATGTTGGTTAATTCTTGTGGAGAATAACAGATTCCCCTGAGATATATTCATGGCATCTCTGAGAAACTGAAGCAAGAATTAGGGTGGAGGGCGGTAAGCAAAAATGACCCAGAACAACCATAATTGGACCAAGGAACTACCGCTTCAGGAGACTAACTGATTCTTCACGACTGTAAATGCTCTGGCTGTCTTTTCGAAAAAAGTGCTATGTGCATACTCTTCTGAACACTTGTCTTTGTGAGGCATAATTTTAATTGGAAATCGTGCATGCTGATCACTCAAGTAATGTTGTTTTCCTATTGTTGTTAAAAATATGCTGGATAATTTAAAAATATTATTGTTATTATTTTTATGAGAAATATATGGCTGCTGTTAGAGGACAGAAAACATCAATTTCAAGAGTGAAATGCCCCAGTTCAAATAAAACTAATTGTGGGGATATGTCAGTCAATTGATTGGTTGGGCAGGCCCAAATGACTGATCCCATTGTCTTACTGAAACACCATTTAGGACTCCACAATTGAATTAATTAATTCAGCTTGTATTAGGTAGTCCTGTTTAGTTACATGTAATAGATACTCAACCCAATGCATTTAAACCAAAAAAATTAATTTGATGAATACCGGGACAGGCAAAATATATCTGAACAATCCCCCCACTTAGGAGAAGTATAGTGAATGCAGCTGGACCTTAGGAAAATCAGGGGCAGATGGTTTCTTTCTTATCTCTGTCCCTCTCTGGATTATGATTCATCTCACTTTTTCCTCCAGACCAGCTTCTGAGGTGCTCATATGTGATACATTTCATGAGCTCATATGGCAGAATATGTCGCTCGGAGCCCCAGTGTGTCACAGTCATGACCACTTGGTTGAGACTAACCCCAGAGCCTCTAGCTCCAAAACTAAAAATTCTATTGGAAATTCTTTGATTAGTCCAACTATATGCCAGTCCTTGGATTAATTACCTGAGGTCAAGAGAGTAGAGTCATATTTTACAAAATTGCTTTCCACATGACCATTTGGATTAGGAAATGGCAGTTCCTCCCCAAAACTGTTTATCAGTTTCTGCCAAAGCACCTTTCAGTTAGAACTAAACTCTTACCTGGTTGATCTTCTCAGTACTAACGTGAGCATATTCTTATGCTTTATTAATTTTCCATACCCTCAGCCATTTTTTTTCTATATCTATAGGTTATAGCAAACAAATTTACATAGCAAATTATGGAAGATAATAGAGAACTTTTCTTGTGCAATCTCAGTATTAGTTTTATGTAAATATGCCTGTTATTATAGGGTTCAAGAAAAGCAGTTCATTTTCTGGCAACCTGCATTTATCTAACTGATAATCATGATAAGATGGATGTCAAATCAGACAGGGGTTGTCCTAGGTTCTGGAGAACACATGTCCACATTGCAAACTGAGGATGAAGATTTAATGACAGGTGGACAAGGCAAAAAAGTGTTGTGAGGGAGAGAGAGAGATGGAGATGGAGAGAAAGGAGAGCAGAGAGAGANAGAGAGAGAGAGAGAGAGAGAGAAAGAGAGAGAGAGGAGAGAGAGAGAGAGAGAGAAGAGAGAGAGGAGAGAGAGAGAAAGAGAGAGAGAAGAGAGAGAGGAGAGAGAGACAGAGACAGAGAGAGAGACAGAGAGAGAGAGAGCTCTTTCTTGCTTGCTTGTTAGCTGAAAGTCAGGAAGTTTCCACACTAGAGAAGCAGTGTTTATGGCAGAGGTTGTGAAATAGTAAAATAATCACAAATTAACCTAGTAAGCTATTGAAAAAAACTTCATGAGTTTTTCCCAGAGTAACTTTACCTTGTACATACATTGATGTAATTTTAAAGTCAATGCAATGAAATAGGGTGCTTAATTTTTATTTTCAGATGGGTCCTAAAGAAACAAATAACTCTAAAAAAAGAAAAAAGATCTAAGCATTTTTCTTAAAAACAGGAAAGTAAAATTCCCTGTAGATGTATTTATCTAGAGATATTTTCCTTCATATACACTCTTGGAATAAGGACTATGTGTATAGATCTACTTATGTTTAACACAAACTCCTACATACACGATGAAAGTGTTTCAGAAAGTTCTAGTGTATGTAGAGAAGAAAGGGAAGTCAATGCAAACAATAGTCTGCTTCAGAATTATCCCTTTGAAGTACTCTATCCTTATATACAACAAAAAGCTGATGCTGTATTACAGATCTTGGATTTAAAAGAAGGCAAGCCGCACTCTTTGTTTATTAATAGTTTTATTTCCTTATTTCACTGATAAACTTATGGGATAATATCACCACAAAGTTGCAGGCATTATTTTATAGTACAGACAATTGACTTATCTTCAGGTGAAAGAATAAAAATGGCATATGACATACCTAAAATGACTGAGGAAGTGCTGGCTACTAGGTAATAAAAACAGGTTAAAATTCAGTGCCTTTGGTAAAGATGGGGACACTATTTTAGAAGCAACTATGATACATGCCTTTTGCTTACAAAGCAAATATATAGCCATCTCTTTTTGGACAGTGGTTTCCTCCTACACCCTCATGAATTAGAAGGATGTGATCACTGAACATTTCATAAACATTTCCTGGGAAGCTTCCTGCCTAGAGAAATTGAGGTGCTGATTCACAGACTCGGAAGCTCATTTTAATTTAACTAGCCCTCAAACATGCACCAAACTTTGTGATAGTTCTCATGTGTTAAAAAAAAAAAGAAGGGTATTGCTCACAATGTCACCTTCATGTAGCTCTGTGCACAAGCTCCAGAGAATTTCTCCAGTGTGTGCAGGGGTTGGAACATGCCCATGTACTGTATGAGGATGAACAGAGGAGAAGGCTTTTGTTTAATTGCTTACAGAACAGAATAGATTCTCCCCTAACTTTCCATGCCAAGCAAACTTGCATATGAGGATATTTTAAGCCAAACTAGAGACTTTCATTTGTGCAAACAGAAAAGTCACATTTATGGGCTCTCCAGGCCCTCCCCATACTTCTCTGACCAGGACAGTGAGGACCAGGTAGAGCTGACCCATCTGGTAAAAAGTTTCTGAGTTCCAGGGGTTCAAGAGGCAGGTGACTTTTTGTCCTTTCTGTACTCTTAATTATGTTCCCTACTTCAAATATATTTAAAATATTGCTCTTTGTTGCTTAGACATATTTTATTAGATAGCCACCGTCTTAATGAATCATTCTTCCTTTAAGTTACTTTTCCAGCTCAAAGACCCTTTCCTATATTAGCAGTGTGGGGCACCGATGTGAACAAAATTCTGATAAATATTTGTTATGTTAATTAATAAGGACTTTATTAAACATTCAACAACATTTAGTGAATGTCTACTCTTGGAGAGACACCGTGCCAGCCACAGGACACAGACGAACAAGATCCATTTTCTGTCATCAAGGAACTCACAGAATGCAGGATAAAATACTCTAGTTTGGCATGTAAATTACAGAATCGTTAAGTATTTTGGAGTTCCAGAAAGAAGAGTAACAAAATTATTTATTCTGGGGATAATCTTTTTAGTTTGAGAGTGGGTTACTGGATTCGAATGTGGGAGGAAGGTGTTGTCACTGCTTCTCTGCAGGGAAAGGTATGGCCTTTTCCACTCCCCGACATGTAAGATGTCTTAAGCAACTAAGGCGAGGCCACCTTGGATCTCAGATGAGTATCTGGGGTGGTCCAGCTCAGGCAGAACTCCTCTGTCGTTCCGCTGTCACATGCCTAAGGCCCTACAGAAGCCGGGGGTGTCCACTTCCTATGTTCAAGTGCCTTTTCCACCCCTGTGGTGAAGCTGTGAATGTACGTCCTGCCCATTTTGGAGACAGTCAATAAAATCTAAATGGATGTTGGCTATAGCCGCCTTTCTAACTTGTCTTTATTCATATTTATTATCATGACATGTGCCTCCTATCTCAGGCAGGACTACAAAAGCCAGACAAAGAAAATGGAATGCTTTAGTTCTAAAGATCTCAGGGTTACTGTCCCCAGGAGCAGTCTCTCAGGTCTCAAATATTTACTCACACAGCACCAATCCTTGTAAAGCCTGGATTCCTATACAGTAGAAGCATGAAAACACAAGGAGAGAGAGTGTGACCTAAATCTGCTGAGGGAAGTAGTAAAACTTCTGGACCTGGTTTGGGCTGGAGCTTACACAGCAGAACCAAACTTGCATTACATTTGAGAAATACGCTCTCTGGGAGGAGGTGGAAGAAGCAGGGCTGTTAGCTTGAAGGGAAGATAAGTGTTCTGGGTACTGTGCTTGCTGCCATTTCACTACCACTAGGAGAAACACCACCACAAAACCCAAATGAACATGCGCTACCCAGTCACCCCACCTGAAAGGTTGTCAGGCCCAACTGCCATGGTATCTGAAACAGTAAAATTCCAGCTTACCAACAAATTGTGAGATTTCTACAGATTCTGTGGCATGGGAATATAAGTAAATAGCTCTGAAGGATTATAAAATCAGAAATCTTCAAGTGTTCATCAGATTGCTCATTTACATTCATCACTGTGGTGATTTGCCAAACACCAGGCCTCCATCTTGACCAGTTTGCTGTCAGAAGGCAAATTAAGGTGCTTTTGTGTTAATTAGTGTGAGCCCACGGAGACAGTCCAGAGAGTTGGAAAAGGTAAGTGACATGCATGGCAGTAGACACCTTCAGTGCCCTCTGAGGTGCGCTCGGGGAGGACTGTCCAGTTTCTCATTAATGTCCCCATCTGGGAGTTATCTCTACTCAGAAGAATGGGACACCCAGAAAGCCCCTGGGCTCTGCCTGTCTCTTTTGTCTGCATTGGGCTTCTTAGCGTACCTGAGCTTCAGCATCCTTCTCTGTCCTGAGGCAGACCCAAGGCAGCCACCTTTACATCAAACTCTGCCCTCCCACTTCTCACAGTCAATGCTAAGGGGCTCTTGTCCCTCCTTGAGCAGTGAACTTTGCCGGTATACCTTCTAGATCTTTAGCCAGTGCAGCCTCTATCCTTATGATTTGTTTCCTTGCTGTCAGAGTCCAGAACTATTATACATGAACGAGTGAATAGAAATGGAAAATATGATGAGAGTCAAGGCTATATTTAAGGCAAGGATGATTCGGGATAATATGGAGAACTAGAAGAGAGACCACAGCAAGGTGATGGGCCACAGGGAGCAGGGCTGTGAGAAACAGTGGGCCAGGTAGTTTGCTGCTTTGTCCATCTGGCAAGTCCTGGAGAACCGAGAAAGGGAGAATGGGTGTGCACACGCATGCATGCACATGTGTGTGTGTGTGTGTGTGTTTGTGTTGGGGCTGTTCTTCATGTGTAGTTTGTTTTAGGTTTGTTTTGCCCTTTCCATTTAAGTGAATCATTCTCTGCAAACGTCATTCATATGGAATGAAATAGTTAGATTCCCTGTTTGGGGATGAAGACACTGTGATCTTACATAAATGCTGAATACCTTCTCTATGACAAACCCTTTGAGAAATGAATGGTAGCTATGTTGGAGCATAAACACTCACTACAGCTTTGATTACACTTCTGAATTCTCCATATTCAAAGAAATCTGTCTTTCTTATTTGCCTTCTCTGACAACACCCTAAGAGTTGGACATACCTTTCTTTAAACATAATCAGTAGAGAGTATTTAAAAGCAGCTTTCATCCATGAGATTTGAGAACAATTCTGTAATTAAACCAAACTAGTAACTGAAAAGGAGAGCTAGGCTTGGATTTGTTTCTTTTCTGCCTTTATCAGCAGCATAAAAGGACAAGGATCAGGAGATAATCATGTTTAAGAGAATTGTTATTAACCTTTGCAGTTCTGCCAAAGCTCAGGGTTTTTTTATTTCTTAAATGTAATTCTAACTTTTTCTAATACAGGAAGCAGCCCTTTGGAAGGAAGGAAGGGTAGGAGTTTAAAAGGAATGGGAATTGCTGAAGTACTGGAGACGTGAACCCACATTCCCGTATTTATTAGTGTTGGGCCAACTGGAGTAAGAAAATATAGATGCAATTGTGGTACACCAGACATTTCACAAGTGGAGAACATAACATTCCGTAGGTTGCTATACACATTATAAAATAGTCTCTGGTTTTTCTTATTCTTTGGTAAATGTGGGCCAAAAAAAAAAAATCATTCTTTCAATCATGCGGATTTGCATTTTTCCCCCTCGTCATGTGATTTCAAACACAGTGGCGGAGGGCTGGTCTGTTCAGGCTCCACCACGTTTAACTGAAGCGTGGGTTTAAACGTGTATTGAAGACACAGTTGACTCTTTGTGACCTGGGTACTTGCTGATGACAAGAGGGTGACAGTCTTCCTCTTCTGAGCCACAGGAAAGCTCAATGAAGCCATCGCTCAAGGGGACCTTAAGGAATCACTTTCAAGGGACGGCAGGGCTGAAGACTGAAGAATAATATTTATCCACATTAAATAGACACTTGGTGAAGGATGCATGAATATTTCTTCATATAAACATAGCACGAAATTAAATAGTTCAAACACAGACACCACTGAGTCAGTCACCTGTAAACACCAGCTCACACTGAACACAAAAGCAGCTTCCAGCCCGGCTGCAGGCGCACGACGCCGAGGCCAGGACGAAGGGGAGATTTGTCCTCAGTCGCCCGCCCCGCCTCCCCCCGCACAGCCCAGCCAAAGGAGATGAAGGAACCGCAACTACAGCAGCGACAGGGATGAAGCAACAGCGGCCCCCTCCCCCAGCAGCACGGAGCATTCGCCCAATTCAGAGGAGAATGCGAAATCATCGCTTTAAAATGCAAGGAAATCAGTGTCAAGCAGTACTTTTCAGTGTAACAGTTTCTCCCGAGTGCGTGTGACTTCCTAAACCCCACCGGCTACTGGGCGAAGGGCACCGAAGCGCGCCAGACAGCGGCGGCCACAGCTCGGAGCCAGGCGTCGGTCCTTCGTCGCCGCGGGGCAGCCGGGGGCCGGAGCCGCGCGCCGGACTCCGAGTCCGCGCTCCTCGCCGCGTCCTTGGCTTTGCCGTCCGCGCCGCTGTGTGACACTCCGACGCGACACAGCTACCAAGTTCCAGGCAGGTCGGATGGCAGAGACTGTGCGTGGAAACGTTCGGATCCGGGCGACTGAATTCAAACGCGGGTGCGGCTCGCTCAGCGCCGAGGGCCCCTCTGAGGCAGCCCCGTTGAGGTCGGCAAGGCGGGGAGCTGGCCGGGCTCGGCCGCCCGGAGGCTCCGCGCAGACCCCGCCCCGCGGCCGCGCCCCCTGCCGGTCTCTCCAGGGAGGTTTGTAGCGCACATCCCTGGCTTCCAAACTTTACACTGGGTTATTTCCACGTTTGCATTGTTAGGATCCTAGAGAACTTTAGTTACCAGAGCACTGAAAGCACGGATTGCAGGAATCATTTGCTAGTTCAGTGATTCCCGTTATATTATATACACTGTGTGTGCGTGTGCGCAGAACTCTCTCTCTCTCTCACACACACACATATACTTATACTTACAGATTTTTATTGATATGAAACTTGAACTGCACAAAACAGTACTGGGAGAGAATCAAGTCCACAAATAGAGTTTAACAGCACACCAGAGAGAAGATGGCGGCTCTACTGGGACAAGGAGGTTCAGCTTTACAAAGCACGAAATAATTTCAGAGCCACAGATTCACTAGCCTGACGTGTTCCACATCCCCGGAACTGGATCTGCATTGACACTTTAGGGATACTGGAAAAGAAGGTGGCAGCTTGGGCTGGCTACTTATGCTCATCTGAGATTCCAGAGCTAATGGGAATGAAAAGAACCAAGCAGGTCAATTTGGGTGTACCACTGCTGTGGAACAATATTTTTTTCCTCTTTAAGAAAAAACAAAGTCTATTTCAGAATAAATTTCTTTATATTAAGTAATTTTTTTTTCTGAATTGGTATCTGACTTTTTTATGAAAATGGATTTATTCAGTGGATCAGTGAACAGGCAGCTTCTTCCACATCTGGGTGATAAGAACATTTTTATCATCACCAGCAATCATCCCCACCCTCACCTTGCTCCCTGTAAGGTTTGTGGGTTGATGTGTGCATTTGACCACTGCTAGCAAGGAACCCTCACCCTACAAGGCCTGCTCAGGTGCACGCTTATGGAAGATGACCGACTGTCTCTGCTGGTACTGATGCTTCCGCCGCTTCCTCTTGTCACACTGGCAGAGCAGCAGCATCTTGAAGGTGGTTCTGAATGTTTTGTTGCACAGGGCATAGCACACGGGGTTCACGGTGCTGTTGATGTAACACAGCCAGTAACCCAGATTCCAATAGGTTTTGGGTATGCAGCTGTCACAAAAGGTGTTCACCAGAACCATGATATTGTAGGGGGTCCAGGTAATGATGAAGGCAAGCAAGATGGCGCTGAGGGTCTGGGCCGCTTTCTTCTCTTTGATGAGAGACATCCGTTTCCGCTTAGTGATCTGACTCCTGGTCTTCAGGGCAAACCTCTTGGCCAGAGTGGCTTCCTTGAAGGACAGGGGAAGAGTGGCTGTGGTTTTACCCACTGAAGAGTTGACCTCAGAGGTCTTGGCTGTGTCCATGGTGGACTCTAACTGGATGGGAAGCTTGGAGAAGCTTTTCTGAAAACTGCCTCCATCATCCATGCTCTTCTGGGCCTGCAGCTTGCTGGCCTTCCTCTCCAAGTCCACCATCCCCAGCTCCTCATCGGGCACTTGCAGGTTGTCTGATGAGGGCAATTTGGTGGAATTGAGGATGGTGCTGTGACCCGGAAGCTTGAGCACAATCGAGTAGATGGCTCTGGTCTCTGAGCCAATGTCCTCCTCATCGGAGGAGGCAGAGTTTTCCAGGGAGGCAGCAGCGTCATTGTTATTCCAGCTGTCACTGCTGCTGTGGTCCTGGTCCATCTGCTCAGCATTGGGCTTCCAGCTCTTGGTTGTGAACCAGAAGTGGCAGCCTGCGTACTTCCTCCTGGCCGAGCGTTTCATGCTTTGCTGTTGAAGCTCATAGCTGCTGCAGCTTCGAGAGCTGCCTGTGGGGTGGACAAAGGTTTCTGACTCTGCTTCTGTTCCAGAGGCTTGCAGTCCAGCAAGCTCCTTGGTACGCTTTTCAGTTTCCTTATAGATCCTCCAGTATAAAATAGTCATAATGGTGACAGGCATATAAAAGGCAGCGATGGCTGTGCCAAAGGTGATGGTGGGCTCACTGAGGAACTGAATGAAGCATTCTCCTGGGGGCACAGTTCTCTTCCCAACAAAGTACTGCCAGAACAAGATGGCAGGAGCCCAGAGGATGAAGGAGATGACCCAGGCCAGACCTATCATCACACCAGCTCTTTTTGTTGTTCGTTTGGCTCGGTATGTGAGTGGCCTCGTGATGGAGAAGTACCTGTCAAAGCTGATGACCAGGAGGTTCATGACTGAGGCATTACTGGCCACATAGTCAATGGAAAGCCAGAGGTCACAGGCCAAGTTCCCTAAAGCCCAGCGGTTCATGATGATGTAGGTGGTAAACAGATTCATTGAAATGACCCCAATGATCAGGTCAGCACAGGCCAAACTTAAGAGAAAGTAGTTATTGACTGTCTTCAGCTGCTTGTTGACCTTAAATGCCACTATCACTAGGATGTTGCCAATGATTGTCACCAAGGCCAGGACACCTGTTAAGAATGCAATGAAGACCACTTGCCAGATAGTATGACCTCCCAAAGGGTCACTGATGGTGCCATTTGGAGAGGAGAAATTCCCAGCTGCTGGAGCAATGTTGTAGCTGCCAAAATGAGTCACTGTTCCTGGGGGCAGTCCTGCATCTGAGGGGCCATGTATCCAGGAAGAGCTGATGTTTGGAAACAAAGGCGAGGTTGTGTTATTGTGCAAGGTCATTGTGATTCTCTGACATAGTCTGGAGAGGAAAGAGAAAAGATGGAGTTAGGAAGGTGTCTGCCTTCTTTCATTGCATTGCATGTTGTAAAAGACATGGAGGACCGATTACAGGATGCTGAACCTCAGAGAGTCAAGAACATCACATCATGTTCATTCTCTTACTTTAAAGATGAGGCATCCAGTAAAGAAGATGTGGTACATATACACAATGGAATACTATTCACTCATAAGAAAGAAACAAATCCTACCATTTGCAACAACATGGATGGAGCTAGAGGGTATTATGCTCAGTGAAATAAGCCAGATGGAGAAAGACAAGTACCAAGTGATTTCCCTCATTTGTGAAGTATAAAAATGAAGCAAAACTGAAGGAACAAAACAGCTGCAGACTCACAGACTCCAAGAAGGGACTAGCAGTTACCAAAGGGGGGCAGGGGAAGGGTGGGTCAGGAGGGAGGGAGAAGGGGATTGTGGGGTATCACAATTAGTGCACATAGTGTGTGTGGGGTCATGGGGAAGACAGTGTAGCACAGAGAGGACAAATAGAGATTCTGTGGCATCTTACTACACTGATGGGCAGTGACTGTAATGGGGTATGGGGGGGGACTCTATAATAAGGGTGAATGTAGTAATCACATTGTTTTTCTTGTGAAATCTTCATAAGAGTGTGCATCAATGATACCTTAATAAAAAAAATGGTGAGGCATCCAGGGAAGGCAGAGATTCATCTGTTTGAGCATAATTAGCTAGTAGTATGTGTTGAATTGTTCTTTCCCCCACATTTTCCTCATATCTAAATATATACTACATATGCTTACACATCAAACAAAATCTTCCTTACTTCTCTTACTTTAAGAAGAAGGGGAAAAATAATAGATGCTTATATGACATTTATCTAGCATAGCTTTATCATCATGCTATTTGATAAATGGATCATGCTCATTTGTATTTTATCCACTTGTGCATTTTTCTGTTCCAGGCTGCAGACATAAGCAACTTTAGGGAGATACCAGCCATTTAAGCCTCACTGGAATGAGGATACCAACCTGAAGTAAAGTGGGAAATAAATGCAAATCACTTCATATCATATTATGTCATTAAAACACAGCTTGAAAAAGTAACGTACAGGTTCCTTGTAATGGCTCGGAACAGCATCTGAGACAATTGTCTTCTGCTTGATAATGTGGAGAACCTTTGTCAGAATGTTCTGAATGGACAAAACCAGTTTTGACAAAGTATTTTACTACCACACATTCATTTGCATATAAATAGTGGCAAACTTCAGTTAGTTCTTTCAAATACCTGTTACCAAAGTACAAAAATAGCTAAGAATCATCACAATTAATTTATCACCAGTAAGACCCCCACATTGTCATGGAAAGCCTTGGCTGAGTCCTGCTCCATCCTCTCAGAACCTCTGGGATTGTACTTTCAGAACATAACTGGCCCAGGAGTTCTCATATCACCGACCACTGTGAACTTTATTTAGTAAATCACTCTTGGAAAGGGTCATTCTATGAATTCAGTGTTTGATAATCATAGCAAAAACCTATTGAGAACACTTCTGTTGTAAGCTCTTGGTTAAACAGTGTTTGACTATAAACTCTTACATACAAATATGTACATATGCATGTGGCCAGAGTCCAGAGTCAAGCCTTTAAATATTGCACATCAGAGCCTCTCTCAAAGGAGTGCAGTCAGATTCACACAGAGCCTTTTGGAAAGGACTTTGCGCATAGCAGGAAGGCTTTGGAGCCGCAAAGGCGTAGGTTCAAATCTCAGTTCATCCACTTCCTGGGGGTAGGATTTTGGGTATTATTTAACCTCTTTGAGTCCCAGTTTCTCACTGAAAAATGGGAAGGAAATGTTCTGTATAAAGGAATAAATTGTTGATTAATTCAGCCTAGACTTCAGTAGTAAGTGGTCAAACTTTGTTTCTCATTAAAATGTTTTCATATATGTAAAGTACTTAGATCAGAATCATAGTATGTGCTACGTAAGTGTAATGTCTGTTTATTTTTTTATTATTTTATTCTTTTTATATAACAATGAACACACCTTGCTTTGGCTGCCAGGATGTTCAGAGCTCAATTTAGTGAAAAAACAAATCATAGAAGAGAATATTTTGGACACTGCTTACTTACATGGTACACAATGTGCAAATCATCATATGTATTTATCATTTAATCCTTAAAATAACCACATTTTACAGGAAACTGAGACAGAGAGTTAAGTAATTTGTCCAAGTATTCAAGCTAACAAGAGGGTGGAGACGGAAGCACACATAATCTGAGCCTAGCGCCTCCTTGTTTAACTGTGATGTTGCCCTGCCTCTCCACCAGCTTGTTCAGATATTGCATACAGCTAGCACCCCCTGTTTAAAACTCATATATCTCTTTAAAGTGAAACTGACATTCATTTAAAAATTAATGAGATAACATTTGCCATCTAACGGATGAGCAAAATATAAATGATTTGCTGCATGCAGTATTAACAACAATGTGAGGGAAATAATCAATTTTGTGTTCTTGGATGCGGTAACAATTGGTCAACCAACAATTTGAAAGGTAACTTGGCAGTACCTGCCAAAATAAAAATGCACAAAATCCAAGGTCTCAGGAGCTGTCTGAGAGCATGTATGTGTAGAATGTGTGTGTAGATATATGTATATCTATATATATACACACATATGAACAAAAATACATGGTTGGACACATTAAAAAACACATCTATACTTATATACATACATGCACTTACATATATTCACTTCAGCACTATTCAACATAGTAAACATTGGAAATGTTCTAAATATTCTAATATATTATTCTATTACAGAGAAGAATAGTTTAAGAACTCCTGTGTAATCCATCACTATTTACAAATCTACATTGCACTAATTTCCACAGGTAATTGATGGGTTTTTCTTCTTTCCTTTTTTTTGCTTCTCTAGTTTTTAATAGATGCTGTCAACTCATCTTTATCTCCAACTTCCTCTCACTGAGGTCATGTCCATATTTAGAAAGGGCTATAGGCTCTTTGGGGCACTCAGCTGCATTATGGTTGCTTCCAAGATACATATACAGAAGATCTGTCTGCTGTCTCTCCCTCCACCCAGGCCCAGTTAACCACAGACTTAAAAGTGTTGGCTTTGGTATCTTCCCCACTGCACCTGCAACTATGCAGATGGCTGAGGACACATTTTTCTACAGTCACACACCTCTGTTCAGCATCCTGCCTCTGAGGTTAATACACAATGTTCCATAGAAGTTTCAGATGCCTCTCCAATGTCCTCCACTACATATGCCTGGATAAGCATTTGGCTTCTTTACATGACCACCCTCATTCATGCATTGCTCTTCTTCCTGCACACACCCTTGTGAATATATACTCTCAGAACAGCCTTTAACTCCCCAGAGCTTTCTGGACGTAGCAGCTAAGCTTCCATGTCTGCTCTGTGGGCTGTGTTACAGCCCATTTACATTCCTGCCTTCCTCCCCCTCCCCCTGCCCACCCATCCCCATCTGAATCTCATATAACCTTCTATAGAACCTTCTAAAATTCTTAAAACATTTTATAAATCTCTGCTATCATTTCCCATGGAATTGATCATGCTCTGTAGACTTAGTTTGACCACTAATGCCATGATGATTTTATTACAAATAAGTATAATGACTAATAATCCCAGTTTGTTATATTTGTGCTGCTGATAAATCTGTCTCCTTTCATCCTTTCTTCTTCCTGTCAATGCCACACAGTGGATGTCTGCTATTTGTCTTTCCTTCAGCCATTCTTTCGGAAATGGCCTGCCATCCACAGTATGTATTTCTGGATGGGCTTCAATCACATGGTCCTGACTCATCTGTCTCAGCAATGGGCCTGGAGAATATGCAAACAGGAGCAGTAAGAATAACTTTGGGAAATTGATATGGATCCTGAAAAGAGAGAAGGTAATTCTCTGTTCTTTGGGATTCCAAGGTGCTGGTGACTCTATTTACATCCACATGGAAAATCTGAGAAGCAAGCAAACATAGGAGAAAGATATGGGGGAGGGAGAGAGATGGGAGAAAAAATGGAGACCAGAGACCTCAAGGTCATGATAGTCTCTCAAACCTGGATGAAGCCACTCCTGAGGTCCATGCCACCTTCCTCGACCTCACAGATTATAAGAGCCAACAAGTTGCCTTTGTTGCCTGGAGACCTGAGATAGGTTATATCACTTACATATGAAGCATGCTGATTAAGATACCTGTCATCATGAACACTGACACTTGCTTATGGACTCACAGCTAGCTTTAAGTTATGATTGGTGCTACGTAATTTAATAAACTATGGCCTGTGCCCTCCATGGACTCACTCCCTGTATGAGGCAGGGGGCAGGAATAATTAAAAAACAGTCATTTAGGTATTATCAAACTGCTTCCTGGGGGTATTCACATTACATTTGACAAATTCAAAAGCAACTTAATTGCTCAGTTGGCTGATGTTAGTGAAGAATATGAGTATGAATTTTAGAAATAGGCCTAAAATCCTTCAGTTCACTTCATCCCATGAATCTCTAGAGAATAAGAAATTGTATAATATTCCAGTCCAATGAGGCTTTGTTGGAATACAAAAAATAAAAGAAACTAGAACTGAGGGAAGGCACCTCCGGGCAAGTCTAGCCCTCTGCAGTGGGCTCATTAAATATCTGTGCTAGTGCACCTGGAGTGTAGGGGCTTCTTGACTAATCATTACAAAGCCTGTGAACCACACACTGTCAGGCAGGTGATCTTTGACTTGAATGCTTTGGCGTATCTACCAGTGGCCCTTCTCATAATTCAACACTAACTTAATATCTAACACCTGTTAGAAGTTTCATATAGTGCTTTTTCTTACTTTTAAAGTGTTCCATTCTCTGCCATCATACACTGGATGTAGATTATGAGCTGAGCTAAAATTTTAGTGTCACAAAAGGACCATTACAGGAGAATGACCTGTGGTTACTTGCTCACCCACATGATACAATAGCCAAAGAATGAT